AGCAGCTCGCGAGCAGACCTATCGTTCCACCTCCCTTCGCATGTGTTTGCACCACCGCACCCGGTTCGTTTCCGGTTCTTCGCGATCTTCCAATATGGCGGAACCGGTACCCGATTCACCATCGCTAACTAAACGATCGATCCATACGAAGAATGAAGGATTTTTTGTCGACCTATGTTAAACCTTCTACATATATCGGCATCCGTACGAAATCCGGGGGCGCGTTTTTCACAGATCAACCCTTTCAATGTTCAATCTACCATGATCTTTACGTGACTTACAATATGAATATGAGTATAAGTGTGAGTAATATGATTTGAATCGTGTTCATGTAACATTCATAATTTCACCACAATAATGTAAAAAGTATTTAACCATTGTGTAAAATGATAACGAATGTCTAAAGTCTTGATATTTAATTTTTGCAAATTTTGTTCCAATTACCCAGTAAGATTATCCAATTTCTAGAATTGTTCAGTCCGATGAATTAGAAGTATTTTTAAAATGTATGTCTTGCATTTGATTAATTATCAAATTCCGAATTTTGTCCAGTTATCGTCAGATTTTTAAGATCGTCGGGAACCAATATGTCCGGAACAATAATCTGGAATAAGATTTTAATTTGCACGATTTTCGGAGCTGTCAACTATTCGCGTATTACCCGTGTCTCATTACCAGTACCGTCGATCTTACACACCGGTTCGTAATTGCTTTTTTTATCCCCACTCCGACGACTCTTGTTATTTTATCCCCGCTCCGATAATAATTGTTATTGTATCCCCAATCCGAATAATGAAGTTTGCACATTACGATCGACGTGATTATTTCGAGAAGTCGATGAATTTCAATATTGTAATATACACACTTAAATTGTTTGTCGACACATGACGTCATTCTGGGAAACCGACAATAACGATTTACGTAGTCTTCCTGTTCGAGATGCGATAGCGCTTTCCGCGTGAATGATAGTATCGTGATGTCCTCGGGCAAGAAAACCTCGACAGGGTATCCGTGAGGCGCTAATTATTATTTCACGCAGGAAATAGTAGATATGAAATCGTATCTGCGAGAACACACCGCGAATATGAAATACTAAATTTATCAAACATTAATATTTTATTTGAAAGATATTCGTGCTTGAATTACACGTACATATAGTTTACCAAACACTATGCTTGCTTGCGTTATCATATCAGTTCTTTCTTTAAATATACTTCCTGTACTGAAACAAATATCGAAAATACATATTTGACGTACGAGATCTAAATATTTTACTTTATTCTTCAAAATATGGTTATATCCTAGTTTCTTTAAAAATATGTCTTTTAAAAAGTTGGCAATTAAAGCAGTAAATGGTCTTGAAAGGAAACGACCTACCATCCAAGAGTTAATTAGAGCCAGGTCACTGACAAAATTTCAATTTTATGCACTAATGAGAACAAAATATGTAGGTAGATGAAACACAGAACAGAAGAAGCGTGAGAAGAATTCAAGATTATAGTGGAATAATATTTACAATTCGTTAATATTATTAAACGAAACGAGTATCTAATCAACTCCTGCTCTGGGCAATCGAGGTAGACAATTTTTATTTTGCATCAAGATTATTTAGATTATTATTATTATTATTATTTTAGATTAGATTTTGCATCAAGAGCGGAAAGAACTATAATTAATTAAATAGTATTTTCTTTAATACGACAAGATAATATGTATTTTTCAGTTTAAAACAGCATTAACCTAATTTTTTCATTGCGCGTATTCACATAATAATTTTGTATGCATTTATGACTAAAAGAGGTAAATGAAGTACATTTGTACAGAACGGTGAAGACATTGGGAGACTTTAACCAGTTAGCTGTTGCAATATCCTTGAAAAATGCATGTGTGGCTACTATTATACAGAATGAAATTGAAATGACATGACTGTTTTATTTTTTAATTTCGTTACTAACATTTATTTATTCGCTTAACTTAACCAGTAACTAGTAAAAGCAACTAAATAAATTCCAACTTTCTGGAACTATTAAATGAAGAAACACATTTTCATTTATCGTCTGTTTCGTATAATTGAAGTAGAAAATATCTGTATTTCTGCAGAACGATCCGTAAGTGTCAGCTTCGAGTACTCCCCAAATATTACGGCCAACATTCAAACATTGGTATCTAACGTTGGAAACCGAACTGGAAGGACTTTTTCCGACAAATTTTCCCTGGGCGGGTGCCATTAATCACCGGGCAAATTGGATGCTGGTTTGTTTGTTCGTACAAGGAAGAAAGAAAACCGCTTGGTATTTCCAAGCACGAGGAACGGGTCGCGCGTTTCATAAATAATAAGCTCCCGGTGTCCCCCGTGAAACTTCTCGTGTCCTCTCGAGACGATGCATTTGCGCAACAATGGCGTTTAAGTCCGTTCTCCCTCGCACCTCCCTTCTGCCTCGCGAACGCGGTTCGAAACGATCATCGAACGTGTCGCTGCGAAATGGGGGGACGAAAAGGGGGGGAGGGCGGTCGTTCTCGCGTCGTCGGTACGTACCCGGTCTCGCGTACTCGTCGCAACGGGTCACCATGGTTATATTTGTTTTGAGTCGACTGGCTCGCAGCCGGATTATGTGCGGAAATAGAAACTGCCAATAATCGATCAATCGCGGTGTCCCATCGCGCGTGTATATGCAGGAATGTTGACATCCGTTAAAAGCATCCGCGATGCGTCGGCCGGTAATGGGTTTCATACGTAACGAACGATATCGGCGAACGTCAGACGTTCGGAAAGAAAGCCTTTATTACGGCCGCGACGGAGAGAAACCCCATCGGATATTAGATCTTTGGGACCTGGGGCCCAGAGGAAGATACGGGAACCGTGAAACCTGGGCCCGAAGGGATGCGATAAGTGTAGCTCTGTCCAAGCTGTAGATCAACGCTAAACCTACCGTGTAGGTCATTTCGATCAGTTCTATATATTTTAGTTTAAGATTCTTGGCATTATAAAGACTCTTTTATATAGGAAATTATTGAATGGATATATTAATTCATGTATACATCGGAATGAAACTGGCGGAAAGTCTAAATAAATTATTCAGTCTTGTTATTCTTATAGAACAACGCGCGTCAGTTACCTTTAGTTTGTGATAGGTTCAATGCTAAAAGGAGCAATGAAAATCATAAACGTGAACTTGGTGAACAAGAAGGATCGCAGCGATGATCTATTATCCAAACGCCAGTCCTTTGTGTATTCGAATTTAAACCTTACTAAATATATTTTCGTCAGAGATCTAGATTAACCCTTCGAATGATGGACCATTTTCATAATTACACGAATAGATACAAATTCATTCTACAAAGAATCTGTGTTATCAAATTTTATATTTGCAATGTCTGGAGTTACTGTGACGAGATTTGTCGCCAAAGAGTTAAAGCAGTCTTGGAACAGGAGGCGAGCCTCTATTATTCTCTAAACCTAGGAGTCTTTATTCTCCTGCATCGACTATATACTTCTTTGTCTTTAGTAATTTCCCTAATAAAAGGACAGAATTTTTATTTCTTGTATACCTAGATTTACTTGTATTCCTAAATTTCAACAGAATAATCAACCATGAGACGAATAACATTCGTATCGAACAAGTAGAATATGTGCATAATCTTATTAGACGCGAAAGGGTTAAAAGAGTAGCGAGATCAGTATAGCAGGCGAACCTTTACTATCCGAATTGTCTTGTCTCTTCAGTTGTTCGAAAAAACGAGGTTTAGAATCTAGTACGTTGCGGAAAAATACTGGAATAGGTAGACGTAAATGGGTAACTAGTGGAAAAGCTTCGTGACAAGGGCCGCGAGGGGGAGGGGAGAAGGGATGAAATTAATTGTTCCGTATCAGCGTGAACGGTTGCCGGTCGGACAGGAAGGGCCGATCAACATGCGACAGAAGGCGACGATCAAAGTTCCGACAGCACGCGCGGAACAAAATACGTAGCACGGTTTCCAATAATACGGAAACGAAAACCCTTTTAAATGCAAATCGGATATCCTCTCCGGTGTGCACTCTTCTTTCGTTAGTCAGCTATTCGACGCTGGACAGCGCGCGCCGGGACGAAGAATCGAGCAATTACTCGAATGGACGTATTATATTCGGTGTAACGACGTTGCTCGACTACTATTCGAATTATCGCTGCGATACCGATAATCGACGGCATTTAAACAACGGAATTCGACGTTCGAAGCTGCCGGTTAACAATAACGGCTTTCCTGTTGCCTTTTTTTTTAAACATTTAACCGTTAATTTTTACGACACGCGGTCGTAATGGAACAACTGTTCTTCGAAGGTAGATACAATTTATTCTAATAATATAGTTCTAATATAATACCTGTGGTATTTTTCGAGTTATTAGTTTTAAATTATTAATGGTACCCTAGTGACGCCTCTGACGATTATTCTATATTTGGTATGGAAGAAATAATGCGTACGTTCTGAAACGTTGTCAGTAGACCGGACTTTATTCGAATCAAAACAGTGAAAACAGTTATAGAACATAAATATGCTTTATTTTTAACTAAATATCTAAAAGAAAGGCACGACTGTCGATTATTTAGAATATGAATTCACAGTCTGATCATCAGTTCCCATGCCACGTCCAATTCATATGCCTACAAAACTATTTTTCATTTTCCAATAAACGCCCAAATAATTCGTTCAACCATCGTATTCACAATTTTTATCTAATTCCTTCCAGGAGTGTTGCAACGAATTTCAACGACCCTGAAACTTGACTATTCGGGTTAACAGAAGGATGAGGTACACATTCGTCATCCGTGAGAAACAGAAAGAACTAACGACCGGCATTACCGACGAACGGAAATGTTCAAGCGGACCTTATTAAGATGCAAATTGTTTACGCATATTGACCAACCCCTTACGGCGCATAGGGAGAAAGCGGCACGACGTTTGCACGAGTAAACATTGAACGGTGCATCCGTCGCGAGTTTCCAATGGACAACGCCGTTCATACCTGTCTGTCGATGGGGGAGGCCTCGTTGGAAGGCCCTCGCGGGGGCTGTTCTTTCTTCCCGGGACAAAGCCGAATTTTGCCGCTAACGGTACAGCCGGGTGAAGGAGAAGTCTGACACGCGGCGATGGTGAAAAGCACGGGGCGAGCGTGCACCGAGAGTGGAAAGCTCGCGAACGCGACGGGGGCGACTGAATGAGAGACAATGAGCGCCGATGCCAGCCAGCAGAACCGGAGAGAAGAGTCGAGCTGGGGAAGAGAGGAGCGAAAGAGAACCAGAGAGAAGGAGAAAGAACGCGCGCGGGCGAGTTCATTGAAAGGGAGCGAGAAGAGAAGTTTTGCCCGCGAATCGGGGAGACATTGTGCCGGCCGTGGACCGCGCGCGCCGTCTCGGGCGGACAAAACCGCCTCTTGTGCGAGTGCACCCGACTGAGAAATCAAATCTCGGCACAGGCTACACACAGTGTCCGTACGGCTGCGAACGATTACAGAATTCCCGGTTTCTAATTCGACGCACGTTGCTTCCATTAGAAGACGGGGCGCGGGCACGATTCAACGGAAATGTGACAGCGGCGATGTAAATACTTTGGCGGCCAAGCGACGAGGTCGGTAGCACCTGTTCGGCCATGAACTTGGGAGCACTTAGAAGGCGGAGAAGCCCGCCGAAATATTATCGTGATCGAAACGTGACTTCCCGGCGGTTCGGGTCACGAGACGCGCCTCGCCGGTCGAAAACTGTCACGCGAGTTTGAGAGGTCCTCCGCATCGAACGTAAGTTACACCCTTGATGGTGCTGTGGGCTCGGCTCTGAACGCGCACATGTCTCCGGGAACATTTGGCGAGAAAAAGGAGAGAAGGACGTACCGTAAAAAAATGCGGATGGAAAGGGAGAGAGGAGGACGCTGTTACCGACCGAGCCAGACGGTGGTGTTCCGCACGTCACGGGGCACGAGTCAGCACGGCCCTCGTTTTCGTGAAACACGAGACGGGCGTAAACGATCGCGCGACGCTTTCCACGCCGGGGTGGGTGCCGCGGGGGTGTGCGAGGGAGAGGCACGCACACGGTGGTCGGTACACCCGGTATATACAATAATGTTGTAACACACACCGATGGCAGAGCACCGCGCGGTAGCAACGGCGACACGAAGAAAGCGCAATGGCCGACCGCTTTGCACCTCCGCTGGTAGCTTCGATCCCTCGGTGGCCACGAGGATTCCTTCACACACTCCTGCGACCCGTTCCTGCGCCTAACCCGGACACACCACCACACCACCACGTACCGTTCCCGACCGACCGAATATGTATCACAGAGATCGAACCGCCGGCGTGAACCTGTGTGCGTTCCGATTCTTCTTTTTCTTCTTTCGCGGTCTCTTCCTTCTCTTTTGATTTCCTCGGTTCCCGACCGAACAACGTTTCACGAAACGCAGCTTAGGGACGGTTCGTACTGTCCGATCGTATGAACCCGCTGCCACTCGCGCCAGACCGCCGCGACACCGTCCCGTCCGCTGGATAAAAACCGACTGACTGGCATGCTCCCTTTCGAGCCGCGATGCACCGCCACGGATCAAGAGGTTAGGTGGGGGACCGGTCCGGAGGCCGAGGGGAGAAGAGGGATCCGTGTTGGCCCACCAAACGACGACGCCTCCACCCTTGGTCGTGGGACAGAGACGAAGATAGACGCGCGGACGACTCCGATTGGGCGTGGTAGAGTCCCCAGACTCGTCTTCGGATACCAACTGCGGGTGCGATCCTCCAGATGGGGCGCCATTTTGATTCCAGCCGCCGCGCGGGAGATTCGTATGCGCTGCGCTGGAGTTCGAAGATTCTGCGGCGGTATGTCATTGTTTGTGGTTGGGAATTGTTGGTAATTATTTGTATTTGCTACTGCTCCATGGAGTTACAAACTTGTGCAACCTTAAGTCACAGTATTTTCTTCAATTTTTATTGCTGTTTGTGTTAGGAAATTGTTTCTAATGTCTTCGTGACTCCGAAAAATCGCTGTAACTATACTAAACTCGTCGTGAAAGGGTTACAATCATTTTTTCAATGACGAATATAAAACTTGAGAAAAGCACGAAATATGTTAGCACACATTCTTTGACCTTAATTTAATAAAGAAAACACAAAATTTGAGAGAAGCAAGATATACGTTCACAATTTACTTATATTCTTAGTATAAATTAATAAACAAAACACAAGAATCGAGGTATAACGAGGAAGAATTTGAATATAGAAGGACGAATTTCAAGAACATTAATTTGAAATCGAACATAGAGATAATGAAATAATAAGATAACAAGATAGGGATGCAACGAGGTAAGAAAACATTACGCAACCGCAACGTTCAAAACAAGACAATTTCAATGGGTGCAGAGGAAGCCTCGACAATACGACAGGTTTCACGGCAACCGGCCGAGGGCATTGTTCCCAAAAATACACCGGCAGAAGTTGTAAAATCAGTTGTACACGGCTTTTCGCGAAGTCGACCAGCGATTTGCTTGTCGAACAGGCTGTGCAACGTTAACGGACATTAGCGTCGATGCAGGTGCAGCTTGTTGGAGCGATTCCGCAGAAATTTTGCTAGTCACTGCAATTTTCTGGGAACGCATCATAGCTACCCGTGCATTAAAAAGTGCGTGCCGAGTGATACAAAGCAATCTATCTCTGTTATTTCCATGTAGCCGGAGCAATGCCCCAGAAGGCAGTTGATGCTACCGGTTGCTGTAGAACAACTCTTCTCTCAGAGATCGATTTTTCAAGATAATTTCAACGCTGTTACTACCACTGAAATTTAGTCTTGCGTTCGAAGTTCGCCTAAGCGTGGCTGCTGTGTATGACGTCAAATAAATCTTGAAATACTATTTCACACAAACAAGATCGTTTCATCATCTATTTCTAATACTTTTTCAAATATTTGCATCGAGCTCTTTTAGGCATCGTCTCGCCAGAGCAATTCTTTGCTTGGCTGCTCCAAAACAGCCACACTCCTTCAAATAATTAAAAAACAATTCTTTCTCGATATCCCTTAAAGCCAGAACTGTGCCCCGTAGGGCAATTAGCGCTCTTGTCCTACCCCAGAGCAACATTTCTCCTCGAAAGAAATTCGCGGTGGCGCATCGCGTGGACCGGAGCTAATTTCGTTACCAAAATGATCTCCTTCCTTGCCCGAGATGCGGAAAAAAGAAACGAGTAACGCAAGGAGCGACGCGTACAACAATGCGCCCGTAGCATCAATCACGCGTGTCATTAATGGTCGCGGTTGCGGTTAGAAGGAATCGAGAACTATAATTCACCTGGCCGGTGTAGTCGCGATGTTGCATTACGCACGCTCCGGCGGGCCGGACGATTTACGATGTCCATTGTCGCGGGTACAAAAAGGCGATCCATTTTTCTTGGGGCGCGCTGTAATTTCGTAATATATCGTCGAAAAACAAGCAGCTCCTTCCGCTCGAAACGGCCGTCCATTATGGAGATCCGCTCGCGATTCGAAAAATCTCCGAAACCGTAAACACGGTCGTACCAAGTTCTCTCTCTCTCTCTCTCTCTCTCTCTCTCTTGTAACTTTCGGGGGAATTATGTAACGAAAACAAATGCTCGGATTAATCGATAATCTAATAGCTGTTGTTGCGCCGGCTTGTTTACTGTCCCCGAGCCAGTTTATTCGCTCTATTTGCGTTCTTTCGCTGGAAACGCTTCGGGAGCTATGTTTATGCGGCGTCGTAATTAAGGAACGGATTGGCAACGAGTTTGCTGGCGGGATGCAGCGGTAATTGTTGCTCTGTACGCCGCCTGGTCGTTTCTGATGTCAGTTCTAGTAGGTCGGTCCGTATGTTCCTGCGAATTTAATTTCGCTTTATATTTCTCGCATCATAATTGCCGAACAGTTGTGTCTCATACGTTATTCAATAGCTCTCTGGTTTTCTCCTGCGATCGTTTGCTTACTCGTTCCGCATGGATAATAAAGTGATTAATTTTTTATAAACTATAAGATGTCAAATTAACAGGAACGAACATCGCCGATATATTTTGCAAATTTTATCACGTACATTGATGTGCATAATTATGGACACAAAGTAACTTTAGTATTTTTATTGATATTTACACAGAAACGTCAAAAAAATTATATTTGTATGCTTCTATTTTCTATTATTTCTAATACAGAAATACGGAAATATGATGTTCATAACATATGTGTACATAAAATGTAAAAGTTACTTTCAGTTTATAATTGTTTATATCACTGTAACTGTTGGGCAATTATGCGCGTAATTTAAATCGAAATGAAAATCGCACGAACTTATGGACCGATCGTTTACTATCAAGCTCCAAATGAGTGTTATTTTTTTCTCTAATTTAATAAAGTTATTCAGAATGAAACTCATCCACTGTTTTTCGTTGCCGTAAGATCGCTGATTTTCGCTGTGAATCGCAAATAAATACAACTTGTTGATCTAATCGTCCAATTGAAAGTCTACCGTGCCAAGCAAAATTTGGTCAAGCATTATCCTAAGATTTTCTGCATCAAAATGATGATTACGCTTATCGATCGATCACTACACATAATCCTCGTCTTCTCGGCGATTAATGCTTCTAATCGTTCATCATCAATCATTTAATCAAGTTAAAAACTTTAAAACGATCAATATCAAATGCTGGTTAATAGCGTCGAATAATTCGGTTAATTTTCCCTCAATTTAATTGTCGAGGGTGAAGCGAATTTCCTTTTTTGCGACCGTCTCGTTGAACACCGGCCGGGATTTAAAGGAGCTCCTCTTCATCCCTCCAACCCCCGGCCACCATGGTCCATATCAGAAGTATGTCAAGAATTTCGCCGTGGGCCGTTTTCACTAATAGCTTACGATAATTGGTTCGCCGCGTTCGTTGCGGTTACGCCACGAAACGAACCGTGTCAAAAGCGGCCTGTTACTTGAATTATAAGATTTTTTGCCGCGTCCTCGTCCGGCTGACGGCGATGAGGTCATGATCAAGTGGAGAACGGCTGAAAAGTTTGCGCTGCGCCGCGCCGCTTCGTGGCCTGCTCCTCAATCTACGAAATTCTGCGCCTCTAGTTCTCTCAAATAATTCACGCTCCCATTCCCGCGAAACGACGAATTTTTCCGTTTATCGTGACGCTGTCGTCTTCATTAAACGGGCTATCCATTCCCGCGGGCACGTCCTCGAGTTGTGATACGAGATGAACGACGTTACGATATTTTCGTACCGCGACCGCCACGTCGGTCGTATATGGGCCACACAATTTTTTTTTTCGTCGCACTGGAAGCTCTATTTTTATTAGAATCTGTTAAACAGCGCTTTAAACTGCCGAAACTTTCAGTCGGTTCCGATATACACTCGTTTCTCCCTAATTCGCGCTCAGATTGCGCACAAAAATGGACAATTTGGGAAGAGGAGATACGATTATTCGAGCCTTGCGTCTCGTTTTTATAGTTGTCGACAATCGTTGCTGACAATCCATTTTTGTGTAACAGCTATATATATTTACAGCTATATATATTTACTGTAACAGCTATTTTTTGACATTTCTGTTCTAAGAAAACGGTTCTAAATTCGCTGAAATTTGTATTCCATGTATAAATTCGTCGATGTTAATTCGATAAGAAAATAGCGTTCGTCGCTCTCTGCTATTCGACAGCATTTTGGTATCTGTCTATGTGTAGAATACGGAATAACGGTGAATATTTTGAAGAGATCGATGACGAATGCGACACGAGTTCGGTGTCGTCGTCGTCAGACGAACGAAAGGCAATTCGATCTGGAGAAAAAGATCCGCAGCTTAGAAAGCCACTGTGGCCTGCGGAACGTGGTTCTCGTTACTCGATACACCGGCTCGTATCATTCGTCATTGCACAATCGTCGAACCGATCATTTATGCTTTGGCTAAAACCTGCAGATACACCGGGTAAATTATTGTTCATTGGGAATCGGTGTCTGTCTGATGGAAACGAATATGGCCGTCGCCGCTGGTCATGCGATCGCATCTTTGTCTATCTATTTTGTCCAGGGTGTAATCATTCTTTCCAAGATAAACATCGAAACTATGAAATCTTCCTTTTAACGATGAACAGACTATTTCGTGAAAAATACAAATTGTCTGCAATGATTGCGAGATGCTGGAGGTAAATAGTTATATTTCTCTTGTTCGATGAATTGGATATTATACGAACGGTATCTTGAAATTCTTCAAGTGTCTCACTGTTTTTAATTTGTTGTACTTATTACTTATTTTAGAATTATTGAAATAGCAAAGATGCTTTTGTGAAAAATGATCGACAACACAGTCTAAGTAAATACAATGTTAATTAGACTGCGGATTTGATGCGGATTTCTGACAAAAGCGAATAGATCAAATGCAAAATAGTAAAGATATGTATATAATTTGAAAATATTATTATATTACCGTCGACGCGTTAAAATGATTAAACGAAAAGAAATGTCTATGTTCTGCATCTTATAATTAACGCAGATAACTTTTATTTTGCATAAAAATTCGCGGTCTACTTACAAGTTTTATCAGATGAACGAATCAGTTCGTAGTAAACTCGGTTTTCTTATGTTCTCGAACATGGCGGCTAAATNATAAGATTTTTTGCCGCGTCCTCGTCCGGCTGACGGCGATGAGGTCATGATCAAGTGGAGAACGGCTGAAAAGTTTGCGCTGCGCCGCGCCGCTTCGTGGCCTGCTCCTCAATCTACGAAATTCTGCGCCTCTAGTTCTCTCAAATAATTCACGCTCCCATTCCCGCGAAACGACGAATTTTTCCGTTTATCGTGACGCTGTCGTCTTCATTAAACGGGCTATCCATTCCCGCGGGCACGTCCTCGAGTTGTGATACGAGATGAACGACGTTACGATATTTTCGTACCGCGACCGCCACGTCGGTCGTATATGGGCCACACAATTTTTTTTTTCGTCGCACTGGAAGCTCTATTTTTATTAGAATCTGTTAAACAGCGCTTTAAACTGCCGAAACTTTCAGTCGGTTCCGATATACACTCGTTTCTCCCTAATTCGCGCTCAGATTGCGCACAAAAATGGACAATTTGGGAAGAGGAGATACGATTATTCGAGCCTTGCGTCTCGTTTTTATAGTTGTCGACAATCGTTGCTGACAATCCATTTTTGTGTAACAGCTATATATATTTACAGCTATATATATTTACTGTAACAGCTATTTTTTGACATTTCTGTTCTAAGAAAACGGTTCTAAATTCGCTGAAATTTGTATTCCATGTATAAATTCGTCGATGTTAATTCGATAAGAAAATAGCGTTCGTCGCTCTCTGCTATTCGACAGCATTTTGGTATCTGTCTATGTGTAGAATACGGAATAACGGTGAATATTTTGAAGAGATCGATGACGAATGCGACACGAGTTCGGTGTCGTCGTCGTCAGACGAACGAAAGGCAATTCGATCTGGAGAAAAAGATCCGCAGCTTAGAAAGCCACTGTGGCCTGCGGAACGTGGTTCTCGTTACTCGATACACCGGCTCGTATCATTCGTCATTGCACAATCGTCGAACCGATCATTTATGCTTTGGCTAAAACCTGCAGATACACCGGGTAAATTATTGTTCATTGGGAATCGGTGTCTGTCTGATGGAAACGAATATGGCCGTCGCCGCTGGTCATGCGATCGCATCTTTGTCTATCTATTTTGTCCAGGGTGTAATCATTCTTTCCAAGATAAACATCGAAACTATGAAATCTTCCTTTTAACGATGAACAGACTATTTCGTGAAAAATACAAATTGTCTGCAATGATTGCGAGATGCTGGAGGTAAATAGTTATATTTCTCTTGTTCGATGAATTGGATATTATACGAACGGTATCTTGAAATTCTTCAAGTGTCTCACTGTTTTTAATTTGTTGTACTTATTACTTATTTTAGAATTATTGAAATAGCAAAGATGCTTTTGTGAAAAATGATCGACAACACAGTCTAAGTAAATACAATGTTAATTAGACTGCGGATTTGATGCGGATTTCTGACAAAAGCGAATAGATCAAATGCAAAATAGTAAAGATATGTATATAATTTGAAAATATTATTATATTACCGTCGACGCGTTAAAATGATTAAACGAAAAGAAATGTCTATGTTCTGCATCTTATAATTAACGCAGATAACTTTTATTTTGCATAAAAATTCGCGGTCTACTTACAAGTTTTATCAGATGAACGAATCAGTTCGTAGTAAACTCGGTTTTCTTATGTTCTCGAACATGGCGGCTAAATTAACGTTAAAAGCTGAGAGCTTAGACCATTATTGTGCAGACAGAAGAACTGTATTTCAGTCGAGAATAACGAATCCATCGAGCTCATCCTCCGCAGCCGTGAATTTCGAAGAGAAATCGAAATTGCCAATAATAGATAGAGGTCCAAGAAGAAGAAGAAGAAGAAGAAGAAGAAGAAGAAGAAGAAGCCTAGTGATCTTCGCGCGAAGCCGATCGACGAAGAGAAGGATCCGATTACAGTCAGGAATAACAGGTCCCTGTATGGGGGGCTTAAGTCACCGTTTAAAAGGCGGAATTAGACTGGATTAACAAGACTCCGGCGATGGGAGTGACAAAATAGGTCGGCGAGAACACTCGGTCGGTTTCGATCAACGCCGGCGGAGGTGTGTTTCGAATCGACCGGTTCGGATGATTCGTCGAGAGGCCAGGCTCGATCGAAGTTACGTTCATCGATCGTAGTTACGTCCTTCGATCGAAGTTACGTCCTTCGATCGAACGAAAATCCAGCGATCGTTCGCCGATGCGAATTCAGCATGACGAAACGGGGATCGACGTGAATAAAAATATAGTTCGGTGCGGTTGTTCGGGATTGATTGGGAAGCACGTGGCTCGAATTATAGCTGGAATCGGTTTACCCGATAGAAGAGGACAGAATAAAAGCCCTTCGAGTTCTCTATCAATCGAGGCTATTAATCTCTGTTTCCAACATTTTGCAACAACGACAGTGATGCATTGTGTTCTGTGTTGGACGAAATATACACAGTCACGCTACAGTACAAAATAATTTTATTCCTTTGATTTCTTCTGAGAAAGACGAATATCTCATGTTTTAGGGCATTTATCGAATAAATATCCAATCGAATACTAATTCATCTAGATAACAATACATAGATCCGAATAAGAATTTATTCGATTAAAATTGCATTCGAGTAAGAACGAATTCATTCGGAAGATAATCGATTTATGTGGAAATGATAGGATCAAAAGTGTATTATAATTTATTGATTAATTTCTTCTCTGTTAAATTTTACGATTTACTTTTTTTCAAATACTGCTTCAGGAAAGCGTTGTTGCAAAAATAACATGAATTAAACATGCATACAGTATCATTAGCAGGACAGTGAAAACAGAACCGATTTTTAATGTATGTTTATAACGGAATGTATTCTTGTCAATACATTCTTACGAAATTACGTAAAAATAAATACAGTCAACGATCATTCGCATTATTAATCGAATAATTTTGCAATCTCTATTCGAATAATTTATTCGAACGACAAATACGGAATTCTTCAGATGAATAGATAATTTGTCAGGAACAAAATTGTTATATTTGAATCAAACATCCGATTTAAAAAAATTCATTCGAATAATTATTCTAGATACATATTTATATATATTCGAAACAATTCGAATAACACCCAATTTAAATTTTGCTTGAAATTTAGCACGCACACCGCGTGTCATAGCCGTAAAACCATCAAAAAATGGTCAGTTTTTATTCATCGTAGTTGATACAATAACGAAGGAAGCATGCCATATTTGAGATTACAGTAACGAGACGCAGAGTGCATAGTCACGATACTTGCGCACAGATATAGGAATAAAAGCGTTTCACATCCGCGCGAGCCATCGAGCACTTTCGCTTCTGCTTGTTCGCCGAAGGAAGTCAGCGGATCCGAAAAACGGGTGATCGATTGCCGTCTGATTAAATTCCTCGGTGCAGGCCCGAAAAAAGGCGCCTCGACGACAGGGTGACCATTCAGCCGCGGAAATCTGGTAATCCCATTAGAGGATGCTGGATGCATAGTTCTCGGATGAGCTGGATCGCGCCCGGGGGAAGGAAGGGAGTCTAGAAAAAGCGATCTGCCATGTGCGCGCCGAGCGGACTTCCACTGGCGACGCGTTGGAAGCTTGATATCGCGATGCTTGTCTTCGAACCAGGGCAAACGTATCGCGTTGCGTGATCGACGGTGGTGTGCACGCACCAGTAGCTCGCGGATCGGTAAACGAAAGACACGTGTCGCGATTTTAATGCGAACACCGAGCGCCCAAGCCTACGTGCACCGGAACGAACGATCGACCACTTGTTGAGAACGGATCCTCGGCTGGTTATTCCATGAAAAATGAAGGGCTCCGAGATAGAACGATGACGAACGACCCGGCACACCGAGTCTGATCAGATCCCCGTGGTTTATCCTGCTCAACGAGTCTTCCGCAGATCCTGGTCCCGGGGGACAGTCGGATCCGAGATGAACTGGAGGACCGTTCTGCTCGGATTCTGCGCGATATCGATGCTGGTAGCCGACGTGTCGGCGAACGGCAACAGCACGTGGGACAAGAAGAAGCATAGGACCAACAAGAAGCTCAAGAAGGACTTCCGGAAGCTGAAGAAACAGGACGGCGCGGTGAAGCTCGTGGGCGGACGCCACGGCCACGAAGGTAAACGGGAACGGTACCGAACTCAGGGGAAGTTCGCGAACTTCAATTGGCAAACGGAGCATCGACGGCTCCGAAAGTTTACGGGTCGCAGATTTGACGGGCGCGAGTCGAACGCGGAGTAGAAATTGCGTTTTTCCGGGACGGGGGTTCTCGACGGGCGAGTTTCGACGTTTAAGCTCCACTATTCATGTCCGAGCTCGTATCTCGTGTGTGCCAGTTTTGAAGGAGGTTCGTTCCGTACCGTCGGCGAACAGTCTTTTTCCAGTCGAACATCGACGGGTTAAGAATTTCTTGAAAAATTGTTGAGAAACGACAATAATCACGTTCAGGATCGAACGATCTGTCTTCGAATTTGATGCAACAACTTCAACTCCGAAAGTTATTCGAATCAATATTTTCATTCAGATCAATTTTCGTTCGATTAGAATATTCATTCGACAGTGCCGAATAAAATCCCTTATTCGTCGTCCGAGTAAAATTTCGCTCGGCTCCGTCGTAAAGAAGAGAATCGTACAATATTGACGGCTTGTTGCGTTGGACGAACAGTTTCGATTTGACGCAACTTTGCGTAACGCATCATCCGGGCCCGATGATAAACGAGAACAGTGACACGCGCGTCGCGCACGTCGATACGCGCGGACTGTGTAAATCATCCGGAAAAAACGGCGAGACATTACGCGGAACACATTCGCGGCTTTACGCGGTGTAAGTTATGCAATGCCGATTAAAAAGGGGTCAACTCGGACGATGATTTATGTCAACGACTATGTGTCAGCGTAGCAAACGTCACGTAGACCCCGGGAGCAACCGCGAGCCGGGTCACGGTACGAGTATGGTCACCGTCAAATTGGACCATAAAACAGGATAGAATCCGTCCCAGACGTCCGCATGTCAATTTTTATTGCCCTCCATTGGGTATATTACATTCCGAGGGCGTTCTTTTCCTTCGTCTGTTCCGTGTTCCCGATCAATTTGATACACGGGCAAAACGCTTCTCCTTCAGTTTCTTTAAGGACAATTTATTCCGCGGACGCTCGATTTCCGTGAATCTGTTTGCTTCCTTAGCGGCCGGCATCGCCATTACGGCCCCGCTTCGAGGCGCATCGTAAACTTATTGCCTAACATTTTAATGCTTTAGAGAAATCGCGTGTTCTCGGTTTTATTTCAACGGTGCTAAAGCTGCGAATTAATTAAACCTTAGCACTCGGGAGATTTCTCCGAACAATTTTGCAATAATTGTGATTTTGCGTGTACAAAAGACGAATTGAAATAAAAATCGTGAAATTTTATAGGTATTAATGAATTAATGTCTTTGCGGTTTTATTTGCGCATTCTCTTACAGTACGGGAAAGAAAATAATTAGAAAGAAATGCCACTTTGACACGAATGTACAGTGCCGCCGCATCCTAGTGCAAAGGGTTAATTTAGCTCCGCTACAAATTAAAAGGTAAAAGGAGAAGATGTTCTAACCTTTTTCAACGTTCGCTGTCCTCGAAATGTTGTGCAACTTAATCACGTTTTTGTTTTCGGATACCACGAAACATTATGCAAAAAGAAAACAATTTAATCATTAATGTCTATCAAAGTAGCCTATCAATTTTAAGTTTTTTCAACACAAACAATTTTTATATGTTATCGAAACATGCATGAATAAGCCTTGTAAATGTGACATTGCAAAAGATATCACACAAATCTTTCGCGAAAAAAGTCCAATTAATCCCGCTGTCACACAATCTATGCGAAGCACGCACGTCATACAATTTCCAAACAACCGTCACTCAAAAACTGACGATGCTATTGATATCCAAAAATCTGAGAATACAATTTGAACATTCTAGAACATATATTAAATTAATAGTTAATTTCACTTTTCGTAAATGATGTGGGTCATTTTGACCCGGCGAGACAGCGGGGGGCTAAACAAAACTGCAATTTTTACACTAGAACATATCTCTCAATAACGATAAACAAAACAAAGGGCAAATGTTTAACGGCGTGCCTCGGAGATCGCCAGCTCACGAGAACCAAAATCAGGAAACAGAAACCATGGTTCCGAAACATTTACGGCCGCCATATTGTTTATCCGGAGCCAGATCAGAAGCTCGAAATGGCGACGGTCGTGCACGTGATTGCGTCTCAAGTAATTTCCGCGTCGGTTCATAAAGTTTACTGCGGCTCCGACGGAACCGGAAAACTGTGAGCTAATAATTCGATTGGTGCGCAGGAAACGTGGAAATACTTCACGACGGGAAATGGGGCAGCGTGTGCGACGACGAATGGGATTACTTGGAGGCCAGTGTGGTTTGCAGGCAATTAGGCTTCGACGGTGCAATTAAACCGACGGTGAACGGCCACTTCGGCCAGGCCAGAAGTGAGATAATATTGTCTCTTCATTCTAGCCAATACTTCTTCCATCCATCGTCGCCGTTCTGCACGATCGTTTGCGCCATTATGGCGGGACGCGCTTCAAAAAGCTCACTAACATTTGCCTTTCATTCGATTTGCCTCCAACCACGGCGAGCATGGATCGAGGAAAATGTCGATGTATAAGCTTTTCTTTGTTGGAGCCTTTTTTCTGTATATTTGTATCCCTTGGTCGATACCTAGATAACTTCCAAGTAAAATCAGCTACTATTGATTAGGCTATAGAATACGTAATGATACAACAGACATCAGTTATCAGGCGGACACTACTTTAACTTAAATCGAATTAAAGTATCCATGGAATTAAAATTGTAAAGTCAAAGTTGTATGGCATCGATTACTTTTTCGACACTTTTATGTTTTTAGATCGTAATAAAATTACGAAGATGCAATAGATTAGCGATTATGTGTTTCCTCTTTTAATAATTTCAACAAGTTTTATAGAATATACAAATATTCTCAAATCCTTCTCACGTCGTAATAATTTTGTTCTTGATGCAGTTAATTTTGTCGAAAGTGTATAAAATCGGCAGATCACCGATTAGAGATATACCGATAAATCTTAATATCAATGGCATATAATACAAGTTTAGTATATGGGAACACCGTAGAAATATCATTAATATATATTATATATAATGTAAATTATAACTAAACTGCGGATTTTATGCACTTATGGCAAAATTGGATAGTTGCAATTTAAAATGGTAGAAAGAT